GATCCAGCAGATCATCTTCTCCCTGTGAGAGGAGACAGCGGTGAAGAGTCATGAACACATGAGGTCAAAGTTCAGTCCTCACATGTACCAGAACAAACATCTACAGTCTGTCTGTAGTCATTACAATACTCCTTTGTATTTATTATCCTGATTATTACACACAGCTGACCAAAGCATTTCCTCACTGCACACCAAGACTCAATGCTGATGATAAAAACAACCACAATAATGTAAAGTCTGTTTGTTTATAGTCAAATAAAAATGTCTAAGCTGCAGTTATGTATTTCTGACACAAGATGGCGTCAGTAGATAAACTCTCCACTATAAAGGGGTTCACTGAAAACAGTTAGTTGTTTTAAGAAATCAACATTTTGTTCCATTAGGCAGCAACATAAATACTGTCTGCATATAAGGGAAAGACAACTGTAAATAAACCAAAACAATCACAATAACAAGAATCATATCCTACTTTATGCTGATCTGAAGTAACGATTGGTAATGCAAGGAGTACAAAGTGAATATGTCCCCTTGAAATGAAGAACAAGAGCGATAATATAACCAGGACACACATTCTTCATATGAAATGTGCAGCTGTTCCTGCTGTTTAATGGCTCACATACATTATTGTTCATACATCATCGTAAAGAGAAAATCCGGATAATTAAACAGACTCAATCTTTACAACCGAAGTCAACTTATTATTAAGAGCATTATGAATATAGGATACACAACTGACCTCGTTTGTCTTCAGTTAGACCTGACTGTCTGTCTGTTTTGATGGTGATGGTGAGACCGCAGTAAAACAGAAAGAGAAAGAGAGAGAGACAGTCTGTGAGTGGGGGAGGGGGTTCTATTAAAGAATAAACACATTTATTGTTATAAAACAGAATCAGAATTTATAGTTTCAATGTGAAGTAACGACTTGTCTGCAATGCCAATCACCCACAAAAACATCATGCCTTATGCAAAATATGTTTTATTTAAACATTTGTTTGTAAACTCAGGAGTGTAAACAACAACATATTTACATACATAAAAATAAGTATGTATACTGTAAATGAAATTCACATTTTAAATGACAGAAGTAGTTCTATTAGGAATTCCCTATAGTCTGTGAGAGTCGTGCCTTATGGTGTGTTCAATTTACACTGAAAGTCGGAACTTGGAGCTCTGAACAACGTAACCCCACAGTTGAGTGCTCCCGGCGCTTCCCAGCCTCACAAACGTACAACCAAACATGTAACTACTGTTTACGTGAGCAGCAGATAGCATGAATTCTACGTCTGGCTGGTGAGATTAATCCGATTTAAACTTCACGGGGGGTTCTGATTAAAGTTCTGACTTGGAGCTCGGAAATTCGACATTCGTGCACAACTGGAACGCACCATTAGTCTTAGACACAAACAGCGGGCTCTCAATGCGCACTGCAATGTAAAGTAGTCTAACTAACGGAACATTAATCCTCCGTTTTACCGGCGATGTTTGTCGCCTTAAGTAGGGACAGTGGGGGCGGGGGGGGGTCACTATGAATCTGAGGGGGTCACTATGAATCTGAGGGGGTCATGCCCCCCGGCCCTAGTGCCATCTGCGCGCATGTTCCACAGGAAAGCATTGTTACCAACTCCTCGGTAAGGAAAGCAGCTTTGTCTCCTCTCTGCTCGGACTGCTACTGTGAGACTGGCCGCCTGTGAGTGCTTCTGGACGGGGAGGGACTCACAGCAGCACCCGCTGCTCGTTGAGCACCGTAACTGATAAAGTCTCCAATAACACCAGAGAGGTCGCCAACATCTCTGAGCCACAGTCTCCATCACAGTAGAGTGTCTGTGGGAGAGGCCACTGTGTCAGACAGCTCAGGTGACGTCATCTGACATTTGCATATCACAATAGCAGCCCACGTGTACTCTGCTGCTCGTGCCCTTGCTGTGCACGCTGTCTGTCTCAGTGGAGTGGTAAAGGAGGAGCTTGTGTGCGCATGCTGTGTGCGTGACAGCGATTTAAAATGTAAAAAAAAATAGAAAAGAAAAACAACTGGAATGCACATTTCCTCACTTGATGGTTACTCAGTAAAAAGAACAGAATATTATTTATATGTATTAAAAACACTCAAAAGTAGGAGGTCCTCTAATGGAGCTACAGGCTATCTACAGTACTCAGATCAATGTCTGGAAGAAATAATGATGGATATATATTGTGAAATACAAATTCATTTGATCAGGTCTGATATCATTTCAGGCTTACCATTTAGTTTTAAACTGTTTATATAGTTTATAAGGACAATAAACCAGATGTGGCATTATTAGTACTAACGAGGGATGTGGAAGGTTAGGTAGTTACTGGATCGTTATAATGACAGTAGTGATGTAAGGTAGTTTGGAAGCTTTAGAACAGTAGAGCTTTATAAATGAATAACATGGGATGGATATTTCTAGTTGACAGTAAGTCCATCCAACCCTTTGATACAGAGAACAGTGATGGGTACAAGATTAGTCATTAGTGATAAAGAGTAATGCACTGTCCACATGAAGTAAAGATCAGTGTGTAGGTTAGATATCAACAGAACTCTAATAGTAAAACTATGTAGTTTTACACAGTGAATTCCCCCTGCTGCAGTTTAAACTGCTGGCCACCAACGTCCTGTAGAGAGATCATATTTATAAATGTTAACCTGATGGCAGAGATGGTTCTGTAACCTTCGGGATTTCTCCACCTCTACTTAGCAGTCTCACTCACTCAGTCACTCAGTGAGTGAGAAACAGCCTGCATGAGGCAGAGAATGTTACCAGAGGGGGGCATAGTTACTTTCCCCTCTCTGTGTAGAAAGGACACAGTAAATGTACACTGAGTCACTGAGGGAGTGTTAAGTAGAGGTGGAGTAGTAGTAGCAATAGTTCTCATTCAGCACATGAACATTCGTGATAAATCGTAATGTTCTCAAATTCTAGACTGTACAGCCATCATCAGACAGACTGACCTGAGCCTTTTCATAAATATCTTAAATATTTCTTCAGGTTGTAAAATGTCCCAGTGGTTTCAGTTGTCACTGTATGAAGAAAAACTCTTGCTGCTCTTGCTGAAATCTGATTGTCCGCCGTGTTTTATCCACCAGCTCTCCCACCAATAACATAGCAATCAGCAAACATATGTCTATAAAGACATAAGATAATAACTTGTGGCCATAAGATAAACAAATGTTACCTTTTGGGACTTTAGGGGCTCCGTACAACACAAGAACAAACGCGAGTTAAAATATATGTTTTCTGGTAAAACTATGTAGTTTGATACAGTGAATTCCCCCTGCTGCAGTTTAAGCTGCTGGCCACCAACGTCCTGTAGAGAGATCATATTTATAAATGTTTACCTGATGGCAGAGATGGTTCTGTAGTAACCGCTGGGTCTTGTTGAAGTTGTCGTCTCTCTGGCGTAAACAGTCGCAGTTCTTTATAGAGGGAAATGTGAAAGGCTCTCTTCCTTAAAAGGGCTGTTTCCGCCCACCGAACATTGATAATGGGCATTTCTATTTTTTATTTTATTATTATTTTTTTTTTTGCTGTTGTTTTTGTTTCTATCTGAGTAAGAGGAACTACTACCTCCCCCATTGATTCTTTATGATAGTGCTCAACCGCTACGTAATGCGCACTCCGGCCACTGCCACCCTTTAGCGCTATAACCACCTAAAACTCCGTCTCGCCTCCTCGACTGTGTCAGTGAACAGAGAAGAGCAGAGAAGAACTTCAAAAGGTCAGTAACGTTTGTGATAAAGACGAGATAAAAGATTACTTATATGTACTTTGTCTCTGATTCAGTCGCTCTCCACCAGTTCTTGCCTCAACTGCACCTGATGAAGACACCAGTAGGTTTTTTTCATCGCATGTAACATATGCTTTCATACCTGCCAACTTTTCAAAAAAACCTTGGAGTGAGATTTTGTCAGGTGTGACCAAAACGATGCCGCGCACGCAGCCACACAAGTTGGTGGCTCAGATATCAGAGGATTGGAATTCATTTGATGTTGTACCCAGCTGAAGGTCCACCCACAGGACATTTTGGATTAAGTAGATGTGATTTCCTGCAGTCTAGTGGATTGTTGGGAGGTCTGCTAAAGATGTGCAATACCTGAACTTATTCTGATTCATGTTCGACATCATGACTTGTAGGGCCTTCTAGACTTGAGCTGAACATTCAACCAGAAAACTATTGTTGTGCCTCAATGACTGCCTGTATCACAATAAAGCCTTATTCATAGACCAGTGTTGAAGATTGGACCTAGTGCCTGTAGGTTGATTGATATGTTGATTAGAATGGTATTAAACTGATATTGTGAGCATGCAGTATACCACCAGGTTAACAAGGTGCTCTCCTGCTGCTTGTTATGACAGATTTCACCACACTAAATCATGTTCACACGCACAAACAAATACTTTATATCAAGATTTAAAGTTTAACAGAGTGAGTACTCAACTGGACGATATTCATTGTTACATACTCTCAGCTCAGATCAAGGACCACATTTTGATTTCAGAGGTGAGGGGGACACAGGTTTTTTTTTTTGAAGTTTTTTTTTGGCCTTTTGATGGCTTCATTTATAGAGACAGCTGTAGGGAGACAGTGATGGTGGGTGGAGAGAGAGGGGATGACACGCAGCAACTCTACCGACTGAACTAACCGGCGCCCCCATTACACAATAGTAGTTCTTCTAGTTCTCTATCGCTACTTTTACGTTCACTGTTCCCTTTTTGGTTGACTGGTTGTAAAGAATGTAAATGTAAAAATAGAAAAAACATTCTGGACACACCCACGCACATACGCACGTGGACACCGATTCAAACGTTAATGTGACTGAAACCTCTGATGTTACCTGGGCAACTGCAACAGACAGGTGTGCGAGCAAGATGGAGTGACAGCGGGGACGGCCAATCACAAACAAACAGCAGAGCCAATCGAGGAGCTTGTGGGCGGGTCTAAAACTAAAAGGCTTCAGCTTGAGCGGCCGTTTCCGCTTGCTCCTAGTGCTTGAAGAGTCTCTGTTTACTATAGAGTAACATTGTTTTTGGACGGTAAAAGCTGCAGGGGACCGAAACGGCCCGAGATCGGATTTTTTTTTGCGTGAGAAATTGGATGTGTGGCGTGAGTGCGTGTGAAAACAGGCAAAACCGTGTGTCACACTGCGAAAGCGTGAGAGTTGGGTCTGATATCATTTCAGGCTTACCATTTAGTTTTAAACTGTTTATATAGTTTATAAGGACAAGAAACCAGATGTGGCATTATTAGTGCTAACGAGGGATGTGGAAGGTTAGGTAGTTACTGGATCGTTATAATGACAGTAGAGTAAATTAGTTTGGATTGTGTAGGCTGCAGGGTGCCTGTGTCTTTAAGACTGTGCTTTCCAATACTTTAGGGCGATGTTCTGTCCGTGATGTCAGCAGCCGTGTGTGAATTGACTCACTGACACTTCTGCCAGAAAGTTGCTGTTAGAAAGCAACGTGATAAAGACAAACAGGAACTGGATTTGGGATTTGGGAGGATCGAACCGACCGTCTCTGTCAGTACAGTATGTGGAAGTTGGAACAAGGAAGAGACGATGATCTCCCGTTTGTTTTAACTGCAGACAGCCAGGTGAGTAATGAATCCTATATTGATGTTGGTGTTCAGTGCGGTTATTTCTTGAATGACACCCTGGGCGAGACCCCCTTCTTGTTAGCCATTTCACACAATTCAGAAAAACAAAAATGTGCATGAACTATAAGCCTGTATTTATTATATTATATATATATTCTATGTATTATAGGCCTGTATTTATTATATTATGAATGAAATGTGCGTTATTTCGAAGAAAGTCGAGGTATGACAGTGGATCCCCTCCTTGTCTGTTCCATATAAGGGAGACCCAGAGGTGAAGTGCCCGAACCCCCCCTCCCCTTCTCTGGTGACAAAGCACACAGACACTGAAGAGTAGAGCTGTTAAGGCTGGGCAGCATGTGTAACTTCATAAATCTGACTAGTTAATGAACTGTTAATATATGTTGACCTGCCCTTTTCAACCATCCAGTCTTCAATGTTACTAATTCTTTGATTTTGATGAACTCTCTATTTTGAAATGGCAACGTTTGATGTGTTCAGATTTGGACACACTGGGTCAACTTGTATGGGACACTGTTAGAGATGTGTGTACCCAGACGTTTGTTGTTCAGTGTGGTTGATCTGTCCATAATGCCATTTGTAGATTTCCTCAAGCAGTTTTATCCTTTTGTTAACTGTGATATTGTAATGCACCTGATCTGATAAAACATCATGTTTACTGAACCTGCTGTTTGTATTGATGCATTTCAAACTTTTTATCACAAGATGGTGTATGACTCTTGACTTGGAGGATTAAATAGTTTGTTCAACATATTTCAAGGGAACTTATCTACTTGTTTGGCTCTGATTCTTATATTGTAAGATCTGACAACAGCATCGTTGTTTGTGTTTATTTATCATTCCTTTATATGTTGGCAGTATTTATATTGAACCCTTATTAAACATGTTTATTCCTTAAAACAACTAAAATAAAGTTAATATAAGTGAAGTTAAAGATAGTTATAAAAAGTTCATCAACCACTGACAACATATGTGTTGAACACAGTGTTCAACAGGGCGCAATATTCTGTACCTAGAACAGGTTAGTCAAGTTTTCTCTCATTCTCACACAGTAAAATAATCACCTGGTACAACCAGCAGGCTGTCCACCATTAGTTGGTGCTGTTGTTTCTTCCTTGTCTGTCCACGTACTTTCAGCACATGGTGTTTTTATTATATATGAAACTGTTGTTTCATTTTTTATTTGTGGATTCACACAAACACATTTAATCAAACTTCATCTGATGATTGTTTTACTGAGTAACCATCAAAGATGTTGGATTGAACTCTCAATGTCCTCTTCAGCTCCATGTTTCCTGCTGATGGTGCAGAGTTTAACCTCTGGTGTCATCATATAAAGATATACATCACTATGTATGTGTTTATGACTCTTCACCGCTGTCTCCTCTCACAGGGAGAAGATGATCTGCTGGATCCTGCTTCTCATCAACCTGACCTCCTGTGTCTGTGGTTAGTTTCCACCTTCACTTTATTATCCATGAAGAGAAAAGTCCAAATACACTTTCAGACTTCCATCTTTCAATCTGTAAGGAGGAAGGCCTCTACAGCACTGAGAGCATCACTAAACTGTCCACAGAAACATCTCTAGATGGAGTTTAAAGGCTCACATGTTAAAGTTGTCACTTTGTCTGGTCCTCACTTTCCCTCTCTGTCTCCTCAACAGGAACATTTGTAGTGAATGTGACACAGACCTCCTATCAGGCAGAGGAGAACCATAACATCACACTGGAATGGACGTTCACAACCAACACTGGCAGTTCCCTCAACTTCCTTTTTATCTACAGTGAACTGATTACTGATCACAAGGTTTCAGTCCTCTATAATCTAAGGGATGGTGTCGAGATCACAGAGTCTCAGGATGAACAGTTTAAAGGACGAGTCCAGTGTGAAAAGACGTCCTCAGAGAAGGACGAATCAGACTTCATGTGTCCAGACTCAGGATTGAAGACTCGGGCCTGTACCTGTGTAAAGTATTCACAACTTATGGTGGCAACGTTGGTAAATGTCGACTCAGAGTCACTGGTGAGTTGGTTCATTAGAAGGTTTTTATCAGATTAATTTCAGTTTTTAATGAACAGAAAAGTGCTGCTGATATTCTACTGCAGTTATCAGTGTCTGGGCTGCTGAACTAGCCTCTATAGACACATCAACAGTTGATGACTCAGACAAACACGTCTGTCTGTTTAAGAACATACCTGCTACACATACGTCCTCATGAGGTTCCACACATAAGTTTGCAGTGTTTGAACTGTGTGACCTTAAAGGACCTGAGAGTAGGAGTTAATGACATCATCACATTGACGCCATCTGGTGGTAATAACAAGCAAAAACATACATCATCAAACTCACTTTAAAAAGCTACTATTCCTATTCTGCCATTTCTAAACTAATAAAAACTCCTTCAAGAGGCATGTTAGAAATATAATAACAGACAATGCTGTAAATAAATGAACATTCTTTAACTTTACTTTAATCTGTTGGTTATTTAGTTTTCTTCTTCAGTAAAATGTTTTCTGATCAAATGAATAACAGACACATATTTGTTTGATCTCTTTACAGCAGACAAACAACAACAGAGACAACCGCCACCAAACCAGGGAACAACTAGCTGCTGCTGTACATTAGCTCTGGCTGTAGTACTACTGTACTGCTTTACTTTTTATTTCCTGTAAACTCTCCTCAACAACTGTACAAAGACTACAGCCGTGCAGTGCTTTGAGCTAAATGAAGTTGACATTAAGATTGTTTTATTAAGTGATTAATATTTACATTTAAAGATGTAAAGCTTAATTATTATTGTGCCTTGCAAACTATACTTATTACTATTCTTCTGTACGTTTTTCGGCGCAGCTGCTGTGGCCTCCCCTGATTGCCATGACAACCAAAGCCTGCCTCACACACACACACACAGCTAGCTACAGAGAATGACAAGGCATTAATAAGTTAGCGCTAGCTGGCTAGCTAAAGATAATTAGAAGGCGGCTAACAAACAAACAATTTAAAGCTGAATGATTTTAATATTAAAACAAAATAAGTGCAATACACCTTAAATATTTTACCCTACTATGAGCTGTTCCTTAATTTACATTAGCGCTCCTTCAGGAGAATAATACAATTAAACACATTAACCAAAGCTAGAGATTAGCAATCGCTAGCTTTGGTTAATGTGTTTAATTGTGCTACCTCTAGCTAGCTAAAGACATGGTATTAACATATGGGCCAGAGCAAGACACAATAAAAATTTATTTTGGAATTTTCCAGTTATATTTATTATACTGTCTGGTTACTTAAAGTTAATGCACACCTTCTAACCAATCAGAATCCAGAGTTCTGAGTATATAGCAGGACATTAAGGTGTGTTTTTATGTTTCAGAATAACACAAACGATAAATACTGTGTTACTGTCCCTGCATGTGTTTCTTGATCCTCTGGTCTGGGAGCAGCAGACTGAACACATCAACAAAACTACAGCTTTCTGTTGTTGTGTGGTCTGACCTGTAACAATGATTTTATTGTGTTGTTGTGCAACTGAAACTGTAATCTATAGGGGTGTAAGAAAATATCAATACACTTCAGTATTGATTGAGTATCTCATGATATTGTAGCGATTCTCACAAACACTTTATTGCATTTGAATTAGCACTTTACATGATCTGTGGCAGTGGTTTCATTTTGTCAACATATTGTAATAATTGTAAACCCTGTCTTGTGATATGTATCAGCTCCCTGTCAATACACAGTCCTATCATATAGTTTAACTATTTTTAATCCATTTCAGATGTTTATTTGTGATGTTTATTTTATTTTATCTACCTTCTAATTATTTTAGTCTTCCAATTATTTTATTGACTGTTTTCTCGACAGATAATCTTTTGCACAGATATGTAAAGTTTGGGCTTTAAGTTATATTTAAAAGTAGTATTTAACATTAATGCTGGTACGTGCTGTACGTGGTTAATGTAGTTTGATTGTAGCTAACAAGCAGTTTGTGATCCATGGATAGTTTTCAAGGGAAGTCTGTTTAAAATATAATGCAAATATTAACATGTCCTATTTCTCATTATTTTATTTCTTTAATAAAATGATGAATTAAATGAAAATAAAGGTCTATGTTGTGTTTGTTCCTGACTTCAGTAAAGTTTTTTGACGTTCCTTTCATTGTTTGTCCAGAAGATGTTTCTCAGTGAACTGGGTGAATCTCAACTTGATGATTTGGTGTTTAAGACTCAGAAGCTGAATAATAATTGTATCTTCTCTTCCTGCAGTTTGGGTAGATGAATATTCAGAGATTTTATTCCAATCAAAAAAATCCTGTTAGATGTCAAAAGAAGTGAGTTTGATCAGATTTACAGAATCTGTTAGTTTGAAGTGTGAAGAACACAAAGAACAGATGCTGCCTGGTTACTTGCTGAACTTTATTTTAGTAAGATGAGAACTGAGAAAGATCTTCATAAGAGATACAGACATACTGGATCCAGAATTCAAGTCAAGTGTGAGATATGTATACACACAGAGCCGAGGACGTCTAAAGAAAAATTATTTTATAAAATATGTTTTAAGACACGCTAATTGGCTTATTACTTATTGGATAACTCTTTATTTGGATCGTCCTGCTACACATAGTTTATAGATTATTTGTAATATTTCAACATCTTATTAGTTGATATTGTCTGATATTACATCACTGTGGTTAAGTTTTGGTTAGGTTTAGGTACAAAAACAAATTATGGTTAGGGTATGTTCATGAACTGTCACATGTACTTTGTTGATAATCTACATCTCTACAGACAAAGAGAAACTGTTGAAATATCACAGATACTCTATAAATCTGCAGGAAGACCATACAGTGTTATTTATTATTATTATTAATTATTGCAAACCTATTTTAACAACAGCAACATCATTGTCGGATTAAATCAGTGGATGATTCAAAGTTTGAAGTTCAATGTGCACTTTGAACTGCAGCAGCACAGCTCTGACAGCTACAGTAGAACACATGATGAGACATGATGTTCACTGTGATGGATGCTCTGACTCAAGTTTCAATGGACTGCCTGGAGGAAGGCAAACACATTCACATATACATGTACAATCACTGCATTCAATAGGAAATATATACAATACAATATGTTTTATTAAAGACTATTAAAATACTTCTTTCATATAGAGATTTATTTACAATATGTACACATTATAAACAGTATAAAGTCAGTGCATTGTATTATAATAATGAACAATTCTCTTCTAATTCTGTTGTCTTGTTGATTCAGACTCATTGTTTAAGACTGATGATTGATAACAGCTGGAGGGAGAACAGAGCGATCAATGACTGAACCAACTTACAGCTCAATGTGAATGATTCCTCTGAGAAACTCTTCATACACTGACAACTCAAACAACTGGGGCATTTTAGAGAGCTTACAGTGGAGGATCAATCAGACGATGGCTGTTTAGATGTCTTTGCTCTTCTTCTGATGTTAACTGTCTGACATCAAACATGGAACATCTGGGATCACAGTGGAAGCATCATTAACATTACTTCATTTATGACATTACATTATTACATAACTTCATTTAAACTTAAACCTGTAGTAACATGAACACCATTTAACAGAAAAATATACATTTCATATTACAAATAGTTTTCTGACACTTAAAACTCAACATTTATACAGCTGCATAAACGTTTCCTTTCTCAACATCATCTGTTAGTCCTAATGGGTTGTTTCTCGTTTCGTCTAAAGTAACAACAACAGACAGCCAGTAGAACTGCTGCTGCTGCCAGTCCCAGTACAACATAGAGGATTATCATTCCCGGACTCTCTGGTTGTGGACTCTCTGGTTGTGGACTCTCTGGTTGTGGTCTCTCTGGTTGTGGACTCTCTGGTTGTGGACTCTCTGTTGGTCTCTGAGGTTTGGGCCCATCAGCAGCTGCTGTAAAGGACATTATATAAAATGTGGTTAAACAGCAAACATTATCTAGTTACAGCTTCTCCAATGTGAGGATTTGCTGATTTTCTCTGTTTCCTGGTTCATGGCTCCAGGTCGTTATGATGGACAGTTTCAGCCGCTGGCAGCAGCTCTGTGGATGGAAATATCAGTCTGTCCATCCGTGTCCCCCTCAGGAGGAATTTAACTTAACACTAAAGTAACTCAGCTCAGCTATTAGTTTGTGTTTAGTGCTAATTAGCTAATGTTAGCATGCTAACACACCAAACTAATAGTCTTAGACTCTGAGTCCTCTTTTACTAACTGAGTTCTATAAAATCAACTTACCAGTGACTCTGAGTTGACATCTTTCAGAGCTCGCACCATAATTTGTTCTCACGTTACACAGGTACCGGCCCGAGTCTTCGGTCCTGAGTCTGGACACATGAAGTCGGATTCGTCCTTCTCTGAGGACGTCTTTGTCACACTGGACTCGTCCTTTAAACTGTTCATCCTGAGACTCTGGGACCTCGACACCCTTATCTAGATCATACAGGACTGAGATCTTGTAATCAGTAATCAGTCTACAGTAGATAAAAAGGAAGTTAAGGGAACTCTGAGTGTTGGTTGTGAACGTCCATTCCAGTGTGATGTTATGGTTCTCCTCTGCCTGATAGGAGGTCTGTGTCACATTCACTACAAATGTTCCTGTTGAGGAGACAGAGAGGGAAAGTGAGGACCAGACAAAGTGACAACTTTAACATGTGAGCCTTTAAACTCCATCTAGAGATGTTTCTGTGGACAGTTTAGTGATGCTCTCAGTGCTGTAGAGGCCTTCCTCCTTACAGATTGAAAGATGGAAGTCTGAAAGTGTATTTGGACTTTTCTCTTCATGGATAATAAAGTGAAGGTGGAAACTAACCACAGACACAGGAGGTCAGGTTGATGAGCAGCAGGATCCAGCAGATCATCTTCTCCCTGTGAGAGGAGACAGCGGTGAAGAGTCATAAACACATGAGGTCAAAGTTCAGTCCTCACATGTACCAGAACAAACATCTACAGTCTGTCTGTAGTCATTACAACACTCCTTTGTATTTATTATCCTGATTATTACACACAGCTGACCAAAGCATTTCCTCACTGCACACCAAGACTCAATGCTGATGATAAAAACAACCACAATAATGTAAAGTCTGTTTTTTTTTAATTTTAAAAATGTCTAAGCTGCAGTAATGTATTTCTGACACAAGATGGCGTCAGTAGATAAACTCTCCACTATAAAAACGTGTCAACATGAGGATCCAGGGGTTCACTGAGCTGCTTTGCTGCTGGCTGAAGAAAACAATCCAACATATTTGATGTGTGTGATTCCATAATTAAAAATGAAACGGAACCAAATTTAGCTTCAAATATAATAAAAACACTATGTGACCAAAAATATGTGGACATCTAAGAGGCAACAAAGCTTCCACCTAGTGGTGAACAAATATACAGCAGGACCAAATGGGCGTAAATTCCTTGTCTCAGTGAGTTTCAGTGTTGTCAGTGTTTTCTGAGTATTTTATTACTTTACCGAATAACACCGATGTAAACAATTAGCTGTTTTAAGGAATCAACATTTTGTTCCATTAGGCAGCAACATAAATACTGTCTGCATATAAGGGAAAGACAACTGTAAATAAACAATAACAATCACAATAACAAGAATCATATCCTACTTTATGCTGATCTGAAGTAACGATTGGTAATGCAAGGAGTACAAAGTGAATATGTCCCCTTGAAATGAAGAACAAGAGCGATAATATAACCAGGACACACATTCTTCATATGAAATGTGCAGCTGTTCCTGCTGTTTAATGGCTCACATACATTATTGTTCATACATCATCGTAAAGATAATTAAACAGACTCAATCTTTACAACCGAAGTCAACTTATGATTAAGAGCATTATGAATAAAGGATACACAACTGACCTCGTTTGTCTTCAGTTAGACCAAATCCTTCTGAATCCTTCTTAAGAAACGATCTTTGAGCGGACTGTGCAGGATGTCTGTTTGTTGAATGTTGATGAACCCAAAACAGAAAGAGAAAGAGAGAAAGAGAAACAGTCTGTGAGTGGGGGAGGGGAGTTCTATTAACGAATAAAGACATTTATTGTTATAAAACAGAATCAGAATTTATAGTTTCGATGTGAAGTAAAGACTACAGATTATTTTATGCTCTGTGGTCATGAAGTTTAATTATCTTCCTCCAAATAATGAGGCGGTTTAGAGGGGTGCTGTGGTTCAGAGGCAGAGTGGGGGTTCGATGCTCCCACATACCACTATGTTTTGCTCTGCTCCCTGACTGACTGAACTGTTGATTTGGTATTATTTCTATTTTTCTAGTCCCGCTGCCTTCGCGCGTTCATACGCCTCACATCAGCGCCAGCTTTACGCGCTTCTGTCGCCCGGAGGCGGAGATGAGTGCGCCACCTACCTGTACAATACACTAAATATAACACACTAAACTAAGAGTGTTTAGTTCCAAAGCTCCACTGTTCCTAAGTACAGCCTCACAGAACAGCTGGGGAGGCTGTAGACTCTTGTTCTCCTGAATCAACTCACCATAGCTCACCAAGTTGTTGACGAACGTGGGCGGAGATTCTCAGCAACACCTACTACCTGTCTACCTGTGTCTACCTGTATCTACCTGTCTATCTGTGTTTACCTGTGCCTATCTATATCTACCTGTCTATCTGTGCCTACCTGTATCTACCTGTCTATCTGTGCCTACCTGTATCTACCTCTACAGGACGTTGGTGGCCAGCAGCTTAAACTGCAGCAGGGGGAATTCACTGTATAAAACTACATAGTTTTACTATTAGAGTTCTGTTGATATCTAACCCACACACTGATCTTTACTTCATGTTGACCTGAAAAAAAATATATAATTTCCTCCAAGAACCTGAAGGACTATTCCAGATTGACCAAAGCATGCATCACACATTCTCAATCATATTTCATAAAGTGGGGCAAGGAACAGAAATACCCAAAACACATTTTCAACACTTGAATGCATATTTAGTTACTTGAATATGATGTTTATTATTTTGATAAGATGCCTTATCACTTATTAGACAGATCTGAGATCTGCACTGTGTGCACTTTATTGAACTAATACTGAGAAACATGTCCACCTCATATAATAATAAACTGTTGTGGTACACAGGAAGTCATGCTTTTGTTTATAATAAAAACTAATGGGAAAACACAATCCCTCCATGCCCCTACAAGCACACAATACATTTACACAGTTAGATAATAGCAAAGTTTATTTTTTATTTTTCACATTTTATGTTTTAAGTTACAAAGTGCTTCACAAAGTCAGAAGTGCTTTTAAAACATTTCTTTAGACAATTTAAAATGCAGAAATATAACAATAATAAATATAAAAGACAAATGCTTCAGATTTAGAATCTAAGGGTTGTGGAGTTGGACCACTGTTGCACCTCTCTCCCTCATTTCTTTTTATCTCCCTCACAAAAAAGAGAAGAGATGAAAATATTCTGTGTTAAATATATGAAATCTATATGTGTAAATACTGTATATACCATTACAGCATACTTAGAGTAAGAATATGCAATAAAGTATGTGTGATTAGTAACTTGGCTGCAAGTGGAGCACAGGCTTGTTTGAGTGTATAAGAATCAACTTGCAGAAACTGACATATGGACATCACAGTAAACAAGTATTTTGGAAATACTCACACTGAGTCTGTATTATTGTTGCATAGTAATGAAAAAGGACACATTTCCATATATAAATATATAAAAGCAAACAGATCACATTATTAAAGAAATCATTGCTTTTTAGATATGTTTTGATGTTTCCTCAGATTATAGATACAGTATTTTGTGATTCTTTTAAGCACTGATAATGCATTTTATCTTGACTATGTAGCGAGTCATAATTTGTTCACATAATGGCATCAGCACAATGTAATCCATTTGGTGTCCACATATACATTGCTCTTTGTCATGTTAGCTTGTGGCGACGTTGCCTTTCCAGTCTAATGAAACCTATTTGGGATCTAAAGTCCAGTGTGAGACTCGTTCAAGTCTCTGCAAGTTGTATCAGGTCGGCTCAGTGAGACGTAGAAAACACTTAAATCAAAAAGAAGACAAACTCACTATATACATATTTGTCTCTGGTAGCTAGAAACCCACTTGTTATAAAGCTGTTACTGTGAGGATGAATCCAAGCATCCATGGACAGGGAAGAGGATAATTAACCGTAACTTTACCTTCATTTTAGTGCTTCATTCTAGCAGTTTGAACCCAGACTGTAAAAAGTGAAATAGGATCCCAAAATCAGCTCAGCCAAATGTCCACTCACATCTGGAGTGGGTCAGGATGGGGACATTGAATCAGCTCACTTAAATAACTCCTCCTCGTTTTCTATCTCAATCGGAAGCACGATGTAACGTCCATCCTGGTCTTGAGCTGTATGGTTGACATGAGAAAACAGGAAGTGCAGGTGAACAATGGGCACAAATAAATCAGAACAAGTTCCATTAAAACAAATAATAAAGCAGACATACGCTGTTGTCCTCGGTCTTCACAAGCACATGCTGTCAGAAATGTCCAAGTTGCCAAGATTACAGAAACAAAAACCACAGCTACTATTAATAGTGGAGCTATGACTTCATGTTTTGGGCTTCCTGGTGGCTGTCCTGCACCTGCATGAAGACACAACACCAGTGTTTTATACTGTATGTGACATCAGGAGGAGCATTATCACAGCAAGAACGTTTGGACAAATGCAGAAAGCTTCAACCACTAAGGAAAGGTATGTTCCCAGATCATTGAACTGTTTGAGTACAACATTAAAGTAAAACTGGGAGAAATTATGGACCAAACTAGAGAAATGTTTTACCTTGTAATCAGATTTATGCATCAAAGTTAAAAGGTAAACTTCATGCGATATTTATACAGTGTTACTTAATGAGTAACCATGGTAACAGCTTACCATGTTGACCTTTAGTTGCTGCCACTTGAGACTTTGATGAGTTGAGGGACACATCACTGCTCTCTCCATCATTGGTCTGGGCCACATTCAGTACAAAATGTTCTATGGGGTCAAATGTGTATTAGTATGACAGTAACACTTCCATTGTACAGTGCTGCAGTGCACAGAGCATTTCTGCTTTTCATTTCAAATCAACTTAAAGAGCTTACCAGTGGTCTCTAGCCCCCATCTTCTCCTGATCTTGTCATAATTAGCAGCCAGATCACACCAGTAACGTCCAGAGTCATCAGTCCTGACTCTGGACATATGAAGTCTGACTCGTCCTCCTCTGAGGACGTCTTTGTCACACTGCACCCGTCCTGCAAACTGCTGATGCTGAGACTCTGAGGACTCCACACCGTCAACCATTTCATAGAAAAGCTTCAGAGGCTCTGACTGGAAGAAACAACGCAGAATGGTGAGGGACATGATGGGACTGTCCCATCCGATGGTGATGTTATCGTCCTCCTCTGCCTGATAGAAGGTCGGAGTCTTTTTCAAGACAAACATCCCTGTCGACGAGAGAAAGGGCAAAGAGAGGCACAATAGAGACGTTATGTAGAGTCAGACATCGATCTTCACCTCATTTCTGTCAGATGTACTGAGACTTACACATAAACTAACCACTAGAGCTACTAGTGTGTGATTCATCCATTTAATTCATTCCAAGAAATTATATTACATTAATTGTCATTTTTAGTGAAACAAAACCAAATATTTGCTGCTTCCAGCTTCTCATATGGGCAGGTTTGCTGTTTGTCTTTGTAATATATGACAGTGAATGAAATAATGTTTGGTTTTTAATTGTTGGTTGAACTAAACAAGCAGTTTAAGGACGTCACTTTGGCCTCTGGAAGTCTTTATGGGAGATTTTTCACAACTTTCTTTACATTCATAAACAGTTTGATTGGATTAATGGAAGAAATAATCAGCAGATTAATCGTTAATGAAATGAATTGTTGGTTTCAGTCCTACTAACCACAGACAGAGGAGGTCAGGCCGACGAGCAGAAGGATCCAGATCATCTTCTCCCTGTCAGAGAGGAGACAGGTTTATTAGAGGAAGAAGAGCTTTATTAAAACAGGACAGATTGGTAGATCACTCAGCACGAAGAAGATCTTCCTTTAAGGTTTGTAATGTTTATAAATCAGTCAGAAATAAAGTGAAAGGTCACAAAGGAGCATTTCTGTTGTAAGAGTGTCATAAAATCAGTCTTGTCTTTGTCGTATAACTGGAGTTTGTTTGGTTTGCTTTAAAGAATCATTTCATCCTTCAGATAATATTAAACTACACATGTGGTTATAAATACAGAAGTCATGGTGATCAGTTTTATTAAAGTCAGTTTTCTTTGTATAGAGCCCAATCATAACAGAAGTGATGTCAGGACACTTATCACATAAAGAAGGTCTACACTGTTATAAAATGAGTTACAGAGACTCAACAGGTTTCTAAGTTTCTTTTTGTGAATAAGAAAAGTTTTGTTCGCTGCGTGATTGTTTTCAATGTTTGTTGTTGTAATACTCATTTCAGCCACAAGACATACACATAAACAGGAGAGAAAACTATTTAGATCTGACGTAGAAAATCAACACAATCTTTTGTCCCTACCCCCTCAGGGCTTCCGTACAACAATTACAATCAGCACCATGTCATGTTTCTGTGCTGATTGTTGTGCTGTACACACTGTGAGCTACTAGATATTAAAGCGGCTGTTAACATCAGAGTGCAGAATCTTGTTTCATATAATCTCAGTGTACAGTTACTGCAGTAGCCTCAGCTTTAAAACAAAGTCCTACCTGTTCATGTGTTTGTGCTAGGTGTGTTGTCTGTCAGCTGCTCCCAGGAACCATGAACTCCTCCCCAAGCGTGTGAACGAGGACGAGCGAGCGATGGCGCAGTTTTCCTGCTGAACAACTTTCTGGCTGCATTGCATCGGTCAGACACTGATCTGGAAAGGAAACACTGTTGTTTACATTTTTTCATTTCATCTCTGGTAGAACTCTTTAATCCTCGCTGTTAGAAACTTTCTAAAGACCATCCAACCTGCTGAACTGGATTTTAAACTTTATTGTGAACTTTCCAGATCAGCTGATATAAAAGTTCAGCCATAAAAAAACATACTATCATGGATGTTTTTCCAGTATTGATTAATCTGCTGATTATGTTTTCATTTAATCTATTGTTTTACTCATAAAAGGTCAGAATATTGTGAAAAAGCCTCTCAACCACCTAATGTACAATGTGACGTCCTCAGACTGCCTATTTCTGCTCGTCCAAGAGTCCAAAACACAAAGATATTCAATTTAAAATTATATAAAACAGAGAAAAGTTCCTCACATTTACGATTCTGGAACCACAGAGTTGTTGGCACTTTTGTTTCCTAACAGATTATATATGTTAATAAAAATTGTTAATTAAGTTGTTTTGATCAACTGATCAATTAAGCCATTTGACTCTTTCTATCACATCAAGATGAAGATTAAACCTCCAAACTCTGTATTTATCCAGCTCATTAATCTCAAATACACTTAGAGCCATTTTTAAACTGTTTTCTAATCCGAGTCGACATTGGATCAAACATATCAGCAGTGAATGAACCACTGTACACAATTCAAACTGTGCTGACAGTAAATCAAAGGTTTGAGTTACTTACTTTGTAGTTGATGGAGCAGCAAGCTGTCACACTTTATGTCTGAACTGGACGAGTTGATTCACTACAGTCTGAATGTTACAGGAGGAAGTAGGTGATTTTATATGGAGCAATTCACTGTGTTCTTGCATCAGCTCAGATTCAGACAGACAAAATCCAGAGGAGGAGCTTTAGTCACATGATTTTACTTCAAAGTGAAAGTATAGAAATAAAAGCTGTTATTCTTTATTTCTCATAGAACTTTAAAGCCCCTGTCCTCCTCAAACTCAAAGATATTAAAGCCATCAATCAACAGTCAGAATGTCCTCACAGTTACAAACAGAAAGATAAAGAGTTGTCTGACTGTTGGGAACGTTCAACAATATTCACCAAGTTCCCCAAATGGATGACTTCTTGTTTCCTGTAACATGAGACTGTGCTGATGTTGACATCCCATGTGATCAAATGTTTGTGTCACCTCAGAATGAAATGATCTGGAATATTTGAGATTAATTTATTCAGCTTCTCTGGCTCATAGAAATTGTCATCAACCACAGAACATTTATAATCCTTCAATAAGTTGAATGGAATCATTTTTTAAGATTAAAACATGAAGAAAAGTTGGTAACACTTCATATTAAGGCTCACATATTGACCATTAACTATCTACCTATTAGCATGCAGCATACTGACTCTTGTTAGTGATTATAAAGTATGAATGCCTTATTCTGAATGAGCTCATTCTACAACTACTAGGACATTAAGAGTATTAATGAGGTAGACATGTTTATCATCAGTCTCTTTTAATATGTCGTCCAGGCTTCATTTATAAGTTAGGGTAAAGAAAAAGGAAAGTTCTGACAAAAACGGAAACAACAAAATTTGTATTTATTTATTTTTATTCCAGAAATAATCCTTAGATTTACTTATTGAACTTTAAGGTATGAAAAAAATAATAATGAAATTCACATTTTAAATGACAGAAGTAGTACTATTAGGAATTCCCTATAGTCTGTGAGAGTCGTGGCTTATGGTGTGTTCAATTTACACTGAAAGTCGGAACTTGGAGCTCTGAACAACGTAACCCCACAGTTGAGTGCTCCCTGCTCACTATGAATCTGAGGGGGTCACTATGAATCTGAGGGGGTCATGCCCCCCCGGCCCTAGTGCCATCTGCGCGCATGTTCCACAGGAAAGCATTTTTACCAACTCCTCGGTAAGGAAAGCAGCTTCGTCTCCTCTGCTCGGACTGCTACTGTGAGACTGGCCGCCTGTGAGTGCTTCTGGACGGGGAGGGACTCACAGCAGCACCCGCTGCTCGTTGAGCACCGTAACTGATAAAGTCTCCAATAACACCAGAGAGGTCGCCAACATCTCTGAGCCACAGTCTCCATCACAGTAGAGTGTCTGTGGGAGAGGCCACTGTGTCAGACAGCTCAGGTGACGTCATCTGACATTTGCATATCACAATAGCAGCCCACGTGTACTCTGCTGCTCGTGCCCTTGCTGTGCGCGCTGTCTGTCTCAGTGGAGTGGTAAAGGAGGAGCTTGTGTGCGCATGCTGTGTGCGTGACAGCGATTTAAAATGTAAAAAAAAATAGAAAAGAAAAACAACTGGAATGCACATTTCCTCACTTGATGGTTACTCAGTAAAAAAGAACAGAATATTATTTATATGTATTAAAAACACTCAAAAGTAGGAGGTCCTCTAATGGAGCTACAGGCTATCTACAGTACTCAGATCAATGTCTGGAAGAAATAATGATGGATATATATTGTGAAATACAAATTCATTTGATCAGGTCTGATATCATTTCAGGCTTACCATTTAGTTTTAAACTGTTTATATAGTTTATAAGGACAATAAAACAGATGTGGCATTATTAGTGCTAACGAGGATGTGGAAGGTTAAGTAGTTACTGGATCGTTATAATGACAGTAGAGATGTAAGGTAGTTTTAGAACAGTAGTAGTACAAGATTGTGTAGGGTCAACAGCTCCAGTTGATGCGTGTCTTTATCACGTTGCTTTCTATGGCAAGCCATTTTAACATTTAACAGCTAGACTGGATATACATACTAACTGGAATTACGGATATCTACAATTCAATTCCAGATATCCGTAATTCACATAGTGGATATCTGCAACTGAATTGTAGATATCCGTAATGAGAAAACCCATACAAATGAATGGCAAAAGTGACATCATCTGTCCTAGGAAGAATGTAGTTGCAGATATCTGAAATGTTGTTTTTGACTAGGCAAAACTGAATTAGACATATCTGCAACACATATCCAGTCTAGCTGTTAAATATCAAAATGGCTTGCCATAGTCTGCTAAATAAAGACACACAGAAACTGATGCATTTTGGGATTTGTGAGGATCAAACCAGCAACCTTCCTAACAGTGAGCAACCCACTCTACCTCTGAGCCACAGTCGACCCTCTCCTGTTTGTATGAAGTGCAGCCAACCAGGTGAGTAATGAATCTATATTGATGTTGGTGTTAATCAGGAGTTAACTTCAGTTGTAAAGGTTGAGTCAGTATATTTGAATAGAACAGCAGGAACAGCTGCACGTTTAATACCAACAAACTGTTTCCAGCTTCTATTATCGCTCCGTGTTCTGTTTTATAGCCCATGTCATCTTTCTGTCTGTTGGTGACTGAAATGAACTAAAGCACACAGACACTGAAGAGTAGAGCTGTTAAGGCTGGGCAGCATGTGTAACTTCCTAAATCTGACTAGTTAATGAACTGTTAATATATGTTGACCTGCCCTTTTCAACCATCCAGTCTTCAATGTTACTAATTCTTTGATTTTGATGAACTCTCTATTTTGAAATGACAACGTTTGATGTGTTCAGATTTGGACACACTGGGTCAACTTGTATGGGACACTGTTAGAGATGTGTGTACCCAGACGTTTGTTGTTCAGTGTGGTTGATCTGTCCATAATGCCATTTGTAGATTTCCTCAAGCAGTTTTATCCTTTTGTTAACTGTGATATTGTAATGCACCTGATCTGATAAAACATCATGTTTACTGAACCTGCTGTTTGTATTGATGCATTTCAAACTTTTTATCACGAGATGGTGTATGACTCTTGACTTGGAGGCTTAAATAGTTTGTTTAACATATTTCAAGGGGACTTGTCTACTTGTTTGGCTCTGATTCTTATATTGTAAGATCTGACAACAGCATCATTGTTTGTGTTTATTTGTAGTTGTTTTGTCTTTTGTCTTTATATGCTGGCAGTATTTATATGGAACCCTTATTAAACATGTTTATTCCTTAAAAGAACTAAAATAAAGTTAATATAAGTAAAGTTAAAGATAGTCAGTTATAAAAGTTCATCTACCACTGAGAACATATGATGCTGTGTGAGTCATGAACAGTGTTCAACAGGACCAGATGCTGTACCTAGAACAGGTTAGTCAAGTTTTCTCTCATTCTCACACAGTAAAATAATCACCTGGTACAACCATCAGCCTGTTCACCATTAGTTGGTGCTGTTGTTGCTTCCTTGTCTGTCCACGTACTTTCAGCACATGATGTTTTTATTATATATGAAACTGTTGTTTCATTTTTATTTGTGGATTCACACAGTCAGACAGCAGCTGTTCTTTGAGTCTTTCAGACTTTAAACTCAACACAGTTTCTGTAGTAAGAGTTCATGTGAGGCTCTGCTCACAACAGATCATTATAATAAGACTGTATAGATATAAGAATAACATTAAACTAAGAAATAAAATATTTGATTAAATTGGTGGGAAAATAAAAATCCTCCAGCAGCTAAACAATGTTGCAGTATTGATTACAAAAAGTTTCCCTTTAATTTGATTTATTTAGAAAATCTTTAAGGAACTGTGGATTGATCAAATTGTACATTTTCATTTATTAAACTGATTTACTGAAACACACAAGAAACATTTTCAATGTCTGACAAATAAAGTTTGAAATGATTCATATGAATATAAAACAGTCAGTTACATTTCAAGGAGCCACAAGCATAGAGAGAGAATGGCTGACCATAACTTGGCAGCAGTGAACAGACAGCTATGCAAGCCAACCTGATGCAGCGGTATGTGTATTGTTAGTAGGATCGAAGGGTGGGACCGAACAGCCAACCTTCCGATAAGTGAACAATCCACTTTACCTCTAAGCCACAGAGACGTCTAAACTGCACAGTAGAGTCCGAGTCTTCCCCGACTTCTTGTGTTTTGTGCCTCAGGTTTGGGCAAATCCCTCGCTGCTGTAAAGAGACCAAACTAATCTGTGTCATTCATACAAATCAACCTAAATATCCACAACAGATCTCAGTATAACTATAACTATATATAATTATATAAAGCTAACAACAAGTAGGTACAGTGTTATCAGATATAATGGATGGAACTATACCCTGCCTTCCAAATAATCAAAAATATTTTATTGAATGATGACTCCTCTCTCCATCTAAAATAGATGGATGGGAGGGGGGGTAAAGGTTATTTTAAAATCTCTTCTGTATTACTCACACTATTTATAATCACATCTATTTTATGTCAGTATATGAATCTAAATGTGCATTTCTAATGGCAAAAAGCCAAATCAATAAAACCATTTGGTCACTATAAAGATGAAGGTGTATCATATGTCCCAGATACTGCTGTGGTAGTCCACAATACTTTTTTTCCTCAGATCTTATTTATCCAAAAAAAACTGCTGAATGAAAGAGAAAGTTCTACTGAATCAACTCAGCAGTGGCACTGAACTAAGGTGTGTTTAGTTTAGCTCCTCTGTTCCCAAGTACAGGAACTCTCAGTAGACTCCCAGTCTTGTTTTACTCCGCCTACCACCTGTTAGCGGCTTATGACGTCTTTCATCAGGCATTCATATAAAAGCAGAGGAGACACAGAGAGACCTCCACCTAGGAAAGGATCCGTGGCCAGCGTTGCTTTGGGTACATCTGTATAATGTCACTATGTATGGAGGAACAGGACCACTGACAGTGTGTAAGGGTAGTCTGTGATAGCTGTGGAACCAACACACACTCACAGATCATCTGAATGGAGACACGGTCAGTAATGAATCCTATATTGATGTTGGTGTTAATCAGGAGTTAACTTCAGTTGTAAAGGTTGAGTCTGTATATTTGAATAGAACAGCAGGAACAGCTGCACGTTTAATACTAACAAACATATTTCGAGGGATGTATATATCAGTGTGTGTTTGGCTCTGATTCTTATATTGTAAGATCTGAACAGCATCGTTGTTTGGGT